AGTTCATGCCCGGTGCAGAGATTCATTGCCATCTCCTCTCAATCACTTAGGTCAATGGTTACTCGGGACAAACTAAACTTGATTTTGTCTTGGTAGCGCAAATTTGGCTTGCCCGCATTCCATCCGCCTGCATTCAATTGACCATACAGCAGTTCCTTCAGAATTCCCGTTGCATCCATAAGATGCACATGTCCAAGCCGCCGAAGGCGTCGCAACAGTAACATGCAGTAAATGGTGTACACTTTGCTCCGGCGGATCATATCAGTGTTGGGCACATTGGCCCACCAGTGGATGTGTAGGGTCCGGCTAAGGCACTGTTGATGGAATCGTTTCAGAAAGCGGATATATCTTCTGTACAGTGTCCATTATTCCAAACTATAGATAATGACCGAGAGAACCATGGATTTGTACACCAGCCCCTTGGTTCTAACAGTGAGTTGATGATACTTCCGCACGCGATATTCCAGTTGTCAAAAAGCCACACTCGCCTTTGCTACACAAACGCGCATTTTGTCGGTGATCCGCAGGTCGGTTGATAACGTGCGCCCGAGATAGCAGAATGCTGACGTGTTCTGCCGTACTGCTTCTGCAATCCGTATTTCTGGCCTGAACATGGGCTTCACTCCCGGTGCCGGCTGTAATAGACATGCAGTCTTGCAAGTGTTTATGCTGAGTCTAAACTTGCTCGAATTGGAAGCTAATGCAGTCGTCATGCATTGCAATTCTTTCTCAGAATGTGAAAACAACGCACAGTCGTCAGCAAACAGCGGCATACGGATGGTTGTCTCGCACTAGGTTTTTTGCTTCAAAGCGGAGGATGTTAGGCAAACCACCATCCATGCGGTGCTCCAGATGCACACCGTATTCACACGTATAGAATGCGCACATCACAGCAGTCAGAAAGATAATGAACAGTGTGGAGGTTAAGACGCATGGTTGCTTCACACCGGAGATAACGGCAGTCATCTAAAGTCTGTCCACTCACCTGCACCCTTGCCCGCATGCAAATATGCAGGCATTCAGTCAGATGAATAAACTATGCAGGTCATCCAAATTTTGAGGGAATTGGCCACAACGCCTCATGGTTCACCTTACCGAACGTTTTGGTAAAGTCGACGAAGAGCGAATATAACGGTTGATTGCGTTCACGACAATTTTCCTGTAGTTAACATACCATAAGCTGCCACTAACCTACTCAATTGACTCATCGCCCCTTCGATATTAGCCCCTGGTGGTCACCTTGATGGATTACCAGACCGGCTTGGCTGAGACATATACGACCGCATGTGCCACAACAATATGCTTTTGAAGTCGATAAGCTTGAGTCCATCGGCGCCTGTCGCCTTCGTAATCGGCGTTTTTCTTCTTGATGTAACAGTTCCGTATGGTGCATCTGAGCAACGACCTTTCTGATGTGGTCAAACCTTTTGCACCGAGTTACTGCCATTGCTGTCCAACAGATATAGAGAGCTCCGGTGTGCCCACTTTCCTCTTCCGTTTACCAAGTTGTCCGCATAGCAGCTGCTTGTGTATCCGCGTCAAATCAGTACGGGTGATCTGCCCGATCCACCCCAGGTGTCGCGGCAGAAGTACGCAATCCACTGCATGCATGCCACTTCGGAAGGGCGTTTGTGTGCCAGGTACTCTGTAGCACCAGTGGATGAGCAGAATCCAACGGGGACAAGGTGGATGACATCAATAATACCATCGAATGTCTTTCTGGTACAGCGTTCATGTTTCGTGGCGAGAAGAAGAGCCTACAGTCCCTTGGATCGGTACAGCGTCAGCTTAATCATAACGGTGAGCAGGTGATTCCTGCAGAACCGATGTTCCAGCTTGCCAAATGCAGCACTCACCTTCGATACGTAAATGCTCAGTTTACTATTCAGTTGCAGGTCCATTGTCCGTCTGCTCCCTAGACAGCAAAATTTCGGGGAGGTTTGCAAAACTGCAGAACTCATGATTTACCAGCAGCCCAGACTTGAAAAGATAAAAACGTTCTGCTTGTGTTGATAGTGAGTCAGAATTTTGACTCTATCGAGTCGAGAGTCGTAGTCATGCGCTGTAACTCATCTGCGCCGTGTGCAAGCAGCGCATAGTCATCCGCATGTAGCAACATACGGATGGTTATCTCACATGCTCGGATTCTAGCCCCGAAACGACGGATGTTCAACGGGAAGATCTACGAGCAATTGAAAGGCGCGCCAATGGGATCACCTATATCGGGACTCATCGCGGAGATGGTAGTGCAGAAATTGGAGGGAGATGTACTCCCACTCATTAATCCGAAACTGTGGCTCCGATATGTTGACGACACCTTTGTGATCATCAAAAGCAATCAAGTTACAGTCGCACAGCAGCTATTGAACAACGCCATTGAAGACATCCGGTTTACTATGAAAATGGAGAAGGAAAACCAACTGCCTTTCCTGGATGTGTTAGTAACCAGAACCATGGAAGGGAGGATGCAAACATCAGTTTACAGAAAATGGACACATACGGACCAAATTCTGAATTTTAACAGTAACCATCCGAAATGCCACAAAGTAAGCTGTGTGCGGACACTATTTGGTTGAGTGCAAACACACTGCAGTACCGCGGAGGCAAAGGAACAAGAAGAGAATCATCTGTTTAAATGTTTCCAACTCAACGGATATCCGCGAAGCTTCATCCGAAGGTGTCAGAACCACAACAAACCAAACAGACAGTCTACACCAACAACGGAGAGACGCGTTGTTTTACCTTACATGAAGAATATATCCGAAATGGCAACAAGACTATTCAAGCAACATCACCTCATCGTAGCACACAAACCAACTGCTACATTGAGAAGAACTCTGTCGAAATCGAAAGAGAAACTGGAAGCTCATGAGCAAAGTAATGTTGTATATAGACTAAGTTGTAGAAATTGCGAAAAGGACTATGTTGGCCAAACAGGCAGAAAATTAACAACAAGATTACAAGAACACAAAAGAGCATGCAAAAGACACTATGCATCTTCGCTAGTCTCAGCACACGTGGATGAAAAAGAGCACAGCTTTGATTGGGCCAAAACAGAAGTCCTGGCACGAGGTGAAACAAGAAGAGCAAGGGAATTCCTGGAAGCGTGGTTCTCAACAAAAGACTCGATCAACATGCATATCGAGATTGACCCAGTTTACCAACCCCTCCGACGGAGAGAACATAGAGAAACTATGAGACGCCGCTTGAATAGGAACAACCCAAGCGACGACCTCCGCCAAGGGGAAATAGGTAGAGATCACGGGACAGAGATCGAGGCCGTCACTTTCGAAAAGTCACCTGCACGCCGATCACGGGTCGACAATTCAATCAGCAAGATTACACTCCACATCTCGACGCACTGATGATGCCGCCTGGCATGGCGGTGAAACGTTTGCAAACAAATTTCGCAGTTCGGCGAACAAATGAGCAACTGAGTCAATACGGAGTTTGAAACGGAACCCGTAATTACAAGCATCAAGGCATAGAAGCTCCTAGCATGTAGATAAATATTAAGCATGACACCGGCTACCACACAGTCTTGCTTGCGCCAGAGACAACAACAAATCATCCAAGGTTGGTTCACATAGCTGCACCCTCGCTCGCATAATAATTTACAGACATAAAACTACATTTGCAAACTTACTCTGACAACCAAACCAACACAACACCTGACACAGTACTTTGCAATTAACTGTGTCAAATGCACTGGTGAGGTCTAAAATAGCGAGTAGAACGGTTGTTTCTGCTCTATGCATTTCTCCCGCTATTGACGAGCCATGATAAGGCCCGGACGCAATCCGCAATACTCTTGCGCCCAGTTTAGTTCAACGACCTAAATGACTAGGCGGTTGAGCAGGCTTCGAGCTATCGCCATCCTAACGCGTCTTGACAAGTTGATGCAACGAGTATTCAATCTGGTTCATCGCAATTGGTTTCCAAACGGCATAGGTAAGCTACTAATCCGAAAAGGCAACAGACGATAGTTTCATCTTATTGGGACTCATCAGTGATACGCATTCCATCGATCCCTGCTGGGGATCAAACCCGTGACCGCTAGTGGCTTGCATCACTATCCGGCAGCTTATGTGATATAGACCGAGCCATCCTCTACTGCCATGCAGGTTACTGTCAGTGTAGAGGATAACGGTTGGCTCTCCTGGTCAGGACCCCCATTGTCACTGACCTGAATCCCCACTGCAGCTTGAGGACGGGTAGGGCACCATCAATAACCGGCATAGTGATGTAGGACTGGTTGGGCTAAATCGCAGTTAGGTTTCAATTCGTGGTGGTCACTTATCATCCCACATGGCTCAGTGGCATGAGCTAATGGCTAGTGGTGCAAGCCCCTAGCGTTCATGGGTTCGATCGACAGCAGGGGACCGAGGATATGCATGCCACTAATGAGTCGCAATAGGACGAAACGAACTTCTGGAGCTTTTCCGGATTGATCGTTCACCTATGCGGCTTGGAAGCTAATTGCGATTCCCCTAATCGAATCATAACTAAATCCGTCTACTCAGTAGCAACGACAATTGTTGGCACATTGCTCGCTTCTTTTGCCCTCTTACATTGATAGCACAAGTGCATCTTTTCTTCAAACCCCACGCAGTCCTTAAATTGTTGCAACGTATTTGTCGACTCGGATCCACTGTGTTTCAACACTCCTCGCGGTATCCAGTCGACTCCGGTGCACTTTCATTTCGCAGCTGAGCAAGTGCTCGCTAGATCTCATCCAGTGTCGGTGTGCCGGCACGACGCATCATTACCTCCTGTTTTTCCAGCCCGCGCAACATAAGCCAATCAATGTCCGAACTGTTGTGGATTATATGTAAATGCATAGCGACATTTTATGTATTTTTCACAAAACTTATTTCTTCATGTTTCCTTGGTAAAGTTGTTACTTTCTAACCTAGAATCTGACAGTCGCTCGCTTTGAACCACTGAGTTTACACTAGGCACACCACAAGTTGAGCTTTTGCGTCCATTTTGTTTTCCAGCATGCATCAACAAGTTGGCCTCAAAAAGAAAAGAAGTCAACTCTACTGAAGACTCAGTGAACGTCAAAACAATGCGAGACGTTGATCCCAACCAGCATTTTCTTCCGATGTCGCCTCTGGGAGAGTAAGAAGTAACACGTTATCTGTTACTGGTTAATGCTGATTTAGCAAGTTGAGAAGAGGCATTATTTAAAGTGTTGACACAGAACTAGTCATACAAGACAAATGTTTGTGACCAGTTGAAGGTGTGCATGTGTAAACCTAGACTGGTTTTATAGGTTCCAAACGTCGTTGCGAACCTAAAATTAAGGTCCACGTGAAATAACCCGTTAATTCCAGACAAAATCGCCTACTTTCAACATATACATAACAGTGCCATTTCTGCGACGGCAGCCAATTTCTGTTATATGCATTATAGGATTTCTTATTTGTTTGTTATCTTTCGCATAGGATTATGTACCCACACTAACGTAAAACCTCAATGCCACCATTCTGCGCGTTAAAATCTTGCAATGTAAACTTCCAGCGTCCAAAACGGCAGTTGCGTGTTAATTGGGATACCACACATCGTTTCGGATGATTTGCCAACTTTAACAAAAGGGGATCAGATTAGAAGCGGTTATAAAAGAAAATCAGTTATGCACATCATACTGCTCAAAAATGGCACCTTATGGTGGCAGCTACCCGTTTAGATGAACGTGAACGACGCCGTGTGGGCAGAGAGAACAACATCAGTCACCACCGACACCAGTTGGCTGCTATTGCAAGAGCTACAGGGTTAAAGCACCGTTGGCTCAGTCTAGAAATGTACAAAAGAGGTTATGTCAGAAAAATGTGAAGCATATTGAAGCGAACTGCGAAAAGTAAAGACAGCATGTCTTTCAGCGCATCTACCTTAACGATTTGACGCATTTGTGACCTGTCCAGGGAAAAAACACGGGAGACGGTTAAGTACCGTTTGTTCGATATGTTTGGACTGATCTCCTTAATTCGGTCATGACTCACATCTTGCAACGGCGCAATTCGCGTTTGTTATACAACTTCCGGGCATCTGTAAAGTTTGTCCGGATATCCAATCGGCAATCCGTGTTGGACAACAATTGCTCGCACGGATGCATCTGCGTTTGGGGGGATGGAGGCACACGATCGCGTTCGAAGCCATGCATTTTGCTCTGCTCTTTGCTGGCATGCATGGCAGCTCTACAACAAAGTCAGCTCGTCCACAAATGGGCACAGCGAGACCACATGAGCCAGTTGAACGATCGGTCGCTTTTGTTGCAACGCGGCATGCTGACCGTTGTTCGTGTGGGTCAACCTGAGCCAGCGGACAAGAGTAGGTTATATGGCAATGAATGCGGACAGGCTGTCTTTGGGCCATACTGGTTGAAACGAGAGAAGATGCATTTTGTGTTGTGTGCGCTAATTCAAACACGCCGTGTCGAATCAAGTAGTATCCCAGAAGATGAATTTATCCGGATGTGAAAAGCGATGTGTCAAAACAGCCCACATTTTTTTCTGAGTTGAATAGTAAACTAGCGGATGCATAGACTGAGCGGATCATGTTTAAACGAAATGTCTCCTTTTCGAGCCGCTGACAAAATACTTGATATAACTATCATACAAAACGCAAGCGCTTGCTACTACTGGCTATCCGCCGTACATATCGCTTGCAAGCAAAGTCAGCGGATAGTCGCAGCAATGCGCCAACGTATAACCACATGGTAAAATTCCTAGCAACTTTGATGTCGTAGACAGTGGTCCATTTATATCTGTGATGTGATTAAGGCTCGTACTCTAACATAGATTTGAGGTAGCTTAATGTGACGCCACAGGAGGTCAGGAGTGCAGTTGTCCAACGGCACTTAAAGCCGACAGTTTAGACCGGACCAGTCGTGTCATCGGCTAAAGAGTTCAGACCCCGTCATTAAGCACGCTCACGTTTTATGCGTCCAAGAACGATACTGTAGCTTAAGCATTGATATTTGGTCATCTAAGCTCCAGCCGGGCGCAATGAAAAGCAAAGCGCCTATGCCTGAGCTGCATCACCAGGTTGACATGGAGGTACATAAAGTTTCTGGGATACTACTTGCTTCGACAAAAGTCGTCTTTTAAGCAATAAGAGCAGCGTTCAATTCCTTTGTGGCAAAGTTGCCAAAGTACTCGGTGGTAACTGCCACCAGCATGTTTTCGGTCAGTAAAAGATAACGGCAATGATAGTAGAGAGATTGAACAATTTCCTGGAATTGCGTTTACAGAGCTTTGAAGACAATAAGCTCCGTGTATAGTTAAGGTAGCGACGGTAACCCATGTGAGCAGGCATTACCCCTAATGAGAAACGGATCATGGGTCAGCGGTGGTTTTCATTTAATGTACGCTGTAGCAGGAGGTGATAAATTAACAGAATGACAACTTGCATAGAGCAAACAGCCCCAACACCTTCTCAAGGATGATGGCCATGCGATTCCGTACGCAGCAAGTATCTCAGTACGCCATAATTGTTAGTCTGGTTTTGGTAAACATCACAACCGTGTACTGGTTTTGAGCCTAGGTATTACGTAATCTTCTCTTCAAGAAATGGTTCATCCTGGTATGACAGTGGATAACAAAAGCCAAGCCACTTAAGGTTAAATGCACTACAGTGTGTGAGATGCTTGAACCGATCTGCAACATAGAGCATTCTTTGAATTCTGTACCCCCGAATTACTATTATCACCATTCACCAGTGGACTAACTTAGTAATTACATTATTTGTAAAAGAGCGTAAGTATCCTCACGAAAACAAGTTTAAACGCTGTATATATATATATATATATATGTATATAAATAAGCGAAGATTTTCAAAGTGTCAACCGTCGTTTTGCATGCTGTGAAAATACCGCTTGATGCAGTTGGCAAGCGTTTCCTCAAATGTTTCGTCGTGATAGGGCGACATTCATTCACGATTTTAACTCACAGTTGCTCCAGTGAACCCGGTTTGCCTTTGTAAACCCTTCTTTTCAAATAACCCCATAGAAAAAATTCAACGGATATATTCTGATGACCGTGCGGGTTACTCCATCGTCCCCTTCGGCTGATCCACCGATGACCGATGATTTACTGAGGTATTCACGAACCGTTTGAGCTTACTGTGCTGGTACACCATCCTTTTGCTACCAACTGGTACTACATAACTCGTCGGTCTCTAATTGTGTAAGTACGCAGCTTTGGAGCATTTCCTTCTACGGCGATGTTATTAAACGTAAGAAATGAGTACCACAAAACAACAAATTATCGGTCACCTTATGGGAAAAGAAAGATGGTCCAACGATCTTCCGAAAAGTAATTCCAACCCAAAACATAAGCTATGCGTTACGTTGAAGATGTATCGCACTGTATCGGTGGGGGTTAAATGTAGCCCCATAATGCTGTTTACCGGTTCCAAGCAAAGAAAAGTTTGCTTCATTTGTGAAAGTTGTGGAGTATCTGCTCCTGTGATCTAAAAACCAGCGACAACATGCATTTTACTTGTACGGATCATTGGGTTTCAAAACCTGAAGTTGTGGTGCCCAAACTCTACTAACATTTCTTATCGTTAGTTTCCTGTGAACCTAGTATTGGGCGGTGTCACAATGCTGCGCGATTCTACGTTTGTTGAGCTAGTCTCTTTTGGATACTTTGCCGATAACCGCTCAAGCTGAAAAGTCATCCGTGGTGATGTGAGAACGCCCGGTTTCTCTGTCGTCGCACACACTCCGTTTTATCGAGCATTTTTAACAGTTTAAGCACGTAACGGCTGTAAACGGGCCGAACTGCAACGCTGCTAATGTTGTATCGTCGCGTAGTTTCTGCAGAGTTTGGACCACACTCACCACACAGGCAAAGCACAAGCACTCGCTGATTATCAGACGCTTAACGCAAATCAGCTTAGAGATAAGTTGCCGACAGGAGTGATTGCTTGTGCTCCATTGCTGAGACAGTGAAAAAATAACAAAAGGACAAAAAGCTCACCACTTATCTTGCACCACCGCAGAATAGTCAGACTGCTAGCATTTGCAGTCTGTAAATCATCGCTCGTTCCAACCAGTATGGCCCAAAGACAGCCTGTCCGCATTCATTGCCATATAACCTACTCGTGTCCGCTGGCTCAGTTTGAGCCACACGAACAACAGTCAGCATGCCACGTTACAACCGAAGCTACCGATCGTTCAACTGGCTCATGTGGTCTCGCTGTGCCCATCTGTGGACGAGCTGACTTTGTTGCAGAGCTGCCATGCATGCCAGCAAAGAGCAGAGCAACATCCATGACGTCGAATGAGATCGTGTGCCTCCATCCCCCAAACGCAGATGCATCCGTGCGAGCAATTGTTGTCCAACACAGATTGCCGATTGGATATTCGGACAAACTTTACAGATGCCCGGAAGTTGTATAATAAACGTGAATTGCACCGTTGAATGGCGAGAGTCATGACCGAATTAAGGAGATCAGTCCAAACATATCGGACAAACTGCAGTAAAGATAAAGAGAAGCTGCTGATTTCCGCGTGAGTGGCTTATCGTGGTGTGGGCCGGACAGGCGGTGGGGAATCGGCTGGCCATTCATGAGTCAACTTGCGTGTGGCTGTGGGCAGTAAGGAGAGTTTTAGACAGAGCACCGACTAAACAGCGCATACTAATCATTGATGGATGGCGGAACGCATGTTATTGAGCGTGCTCAAACGAAAGCTATCGCAATTAAACAACTCTTCCAAAGATTTTGCTTTGAATGGGTGCACCACTTAGCAATTATCAGGCTTTGAATGCTGCAGATCCTTCGCCTTAAATCTTAGAGCGATAATTACACACTTAACTGGGAGAGTTGTATGGCCGTTATCATCAGCTGTTTTTCCGGTGCCTGGCTTGCATCTCCCTTCCCTTATGGCATAACACAGCGCTAGGAAGGATTGTTATCCGCACCAGAGCTTCTCAGGTCTGTAGTCTAATGTAGCTTTGTGCCTTTGATATTATGTTTAAGCAAAGTTTAGGATTAAGTTGTTTGTTTAGGTCGATAAGTGCAATCTATCATCAATGAAAATGTAGTATTTGGGTCGAGGAGAAGCTTCTTACACCGTGGGGCGCCTTTTCAAACCGATATTGTGATGTTATCGT